TATATATATATATATATATATTAAGAACTTGCTCAAATACATTTACATATTTAAATTTAAAATTTAATTATTAACATTTAACACTTATCATTCTGAAAACGGACCGTTAGAATTTGAAATTCTAACTCCTGCCCTCAATAAGTAGTTGACGCACCACCCTAAATTTGAAAACATAGTATTGGATCGCCTGAATATTTTACATCAGAAAATCATGTTGATGAATAAAGCTCCCATTGGACCAACGTAATAATACAAAGAAGATAAAAGTTAAACATAGGCAAAGTCACAGAGCGACACGTTTACAAGGTAATTGCTGACATAATTCCCAACATCTNAACTTATGCTGCAACTAAAGATAACCTTTCAACTGCAGGACAAAATGTAGCTCAGTCTGCACAACAAGCTAAAGACTATACCTTGCAAAAGGCAGGAGAGGCTAAAGACACAGCTCTTCAGAAGGGTCAACAAGCTTGCTATACAACTAAAGATACCCTTTCAAGCGTAGGACAAAATGCAGTTCAATCAGCACAGCAGGCAAAAGATTATGCACTGCAAAAGGCAGGGGAGACTAAAGACACAGTCCGCGACAAGGGTCAGCAAGCTTATTCTACAACTAGAGACACCCTTTCAAATGCAGGAACAAATGCAGCTCAATCAGCACTACATGCAAAAGATTATACACTGCAAAATGCAGGAGAGGCTAAAGATTATGCTAAAGACACGGTTCTTGACAAAGGTCGGAAAGCTTACTCCACAACTAGAGACACCCTTTCAAGTGCTGGACAAAATGCAGCTCAATCAGCACAGCAGGCTAAAGATTACACCCTAAAAAACGCAGAGGAGGCCAAAGACAATGCAGCAGGACTGAGCAAGAATGCAGCAAGCTATATTGGGAAGAGAGCTACAGAAGCAAAAGATGTAACCTTAGAGACAGGCAAAGGAGCAGTAGGATATGCAGGGCAAGCAGCAAGTTATGTTGGGCGGAAGGCTGTAGATGCTAAAGATGCCACCTTAGAAACAGGCAAAGGAGCAGTAGGATATGCAGGGAAAACAGCAAGTTATGTTGGACAGAAAGCTGTTGATGCTAAAGATGTTACCTTAGAAACAGGGAAAGGAGCAGTAGGATATGCAGGGGAAGTAGCTGAAACTGTGAAGGAAAAAGCTGCAGTAGCTGGTTGGGGAGCAGCACATTATACAGCTGAGAAAGCAGCAGAGGCAACTAAAGCTGTGGTTGGTGTTGCTTCTAATGTTGCAGGGTATACCGGAGAGAAGGCGGTCGCCGCAAAGGATGCAGTTGCAGGTACTGGAATGAGTGCTGTGGAATATGTTGAGAACAAGTTGGCTAATGCAAAGGATTATGTTGTTTCAACTGAAGAAAGTGCAGCAGAGTATGCAGCTAGGAGGAAAGCTGAAGCTGAAAAGGAATTGGAAGCCAAGAGATCATATGATTACAAGGTAAACTTGGTAGTTGAGTTTTTCTATGTTTTTACTTACTAATGGTGGCATTGATTTCAGTTAAACTTAGGTTAAACGAGCATCCCACACCCAAAAGGTGCCCCGCATAGGTTTTCCCCTAAAACCCCAGTAACTAAACAATGTAGAAAAAGCACAAGCACCTATTTCTGTACCGGTTACGGAAGAGCGAAGAAAAAGGGATGTTTTGTTAATAGGAACAAAAAAGGAGATGTTTTGTTAATAGGAACCAAAAAGTGTCTATAGCCGTAACGATATAAACAAGAATACTCATCCGAGCCGCAGGAACATGCACATACAGAATAAGGGAATTTTCACCTTATTGAAGATCTAGTGGTGCTACCAAAAGACTTAAATTAATAGCCATGCGCTGTTAAGAACAACCGAGATCCAACCATGTTATGACTAACTATCATTGTATTGTATAATTTGAACATGTGCAGCAGGGAGAAAGTGGAGGTGGGCTTTATATCAGCGAGGAAAAACAAGAAACAAAATGGGAGGAATCAGGAGGAGAGCAGAAGCATAAAGGAGGGTTATTACAAGCCATAGGGGAAACTATAGTGGAGATAGGGAAGACAGCAACAGATCTTATAGCTGGACGTGGCCAATCTCAAACTGATAGCAAGGGAGATGAAAGTCAGTCTTCACATAGAAACAGCTGATTTTTGGCATTTTGAGCATCTAATTTTGGTCAGAATTTCAACTGTTTTTTTCTGTTGCTGTTTTTCAAGCGTCAGTATAAGGGGTTTTATATTATTATTAGGATTGTAACGATTAGGCTCCTTTATCTTTGATAGTAAAGGTACCTAAAACTTGTTTTGCTAATTGCTCAACTGTTTCTTTCAAGTGATGTTTAGCTGGACATGTTTGTTCTTCATGATTTTATTTTACCTTTTATGTAACCGGAAAAGAAAATATAACAATAAATCAGTAGCGATGGCAATGGGGCGGGGGTTTTGGTTGATGCGGGGCGGGTTTTGGTTGATGCGGGGCGAGGCGGGTTTACTCTTATGTGGGTGTGGGGCAGGGCAAGTTTAATGTATGTGGGTGCGGAGCGGGGCGAGTTTTGGTTGATGCGGGGCGAGGCGGGTTTACTCTTATGTGGGTGTGGGGCGGGTTCAATGAGGGGCAATTTTGAATTTTAATGAGGGGCAATTTTGAATTTTATCGTATGTGGATGTGGAGCGGGCAATCATTTCAACTACAATTTCACATTCTTCTTCACTAGCAAGAGTACTATTTTGACTTATAATTAATCAATTTGCTTAAGTCTCGCCAAAATGATATTACATAAGTCTTTTTGTTTATGTGATTCTATTAAACTCTTCATTTTATAAAATAATAAAATGTCAAACTAATTTTTTTTAGAAAAAAAATTAACAATAAAGAAAAAAAGATTAAGTGGGGTGGGGCGGGCGGGTTCAAGTTTGTGAGTTTTATCAAACCCGTCCCGCAGCTGCCGGTCCCATTGTCATCCCTAAATAAATGTGTGGAAACACACGTGATTGTAACAAAGTGCATTTATAACAAAGTGCAGAAGAGGATCTTGTGAATGCCTAGAAAACACACGTAGTTGTAAAATTACATAATGGAAATACACAGCACCCCACTATGCTCCACACAATGGCCACTATATAGTGGAAAACAAAGACAAATAGCTCGAAAACTATTAATATGCCAACTGGATGACTCAAAGGCAAAAAAAAAAAAAAAAAAAAAAA